TATATATATATATATATATATATATATATATATATATATAAAAGCATTCTTGGTCTATAAATAACACGAACAATTCATAATCTTAGAGATTAGAAAAATAAATTGGTATTTACATTGTATATGCTTTAAATTGTGTAATGCACTCTTAAAAAGAACCAGAGTGAAATGTGGTATAAAAAAAAAATGTCGATAAGTCTTCAAATATTTTACGAAGTTGATATAAAGCAAGAAACAATATTAAGCTTTACATCTTTTTCTTTAAGAGAGTCAAAGAAAATTTTTATTTACGGCTTGCCCGATGATTCGAGCTTAAACTTGATTTAAAATCGAGTTTGATAGTTGAAAGGAATGAAGTATTGATGAAATCTTTTTAATAAGAAGAAAATGGTACCTCGTACTATAAACTACAGTGTTCATATTAAAATAACTAAGAAAGTGTATCTATATGATCACGAGAACATAAATATAATGTATACATAGCTATGTATATGTATGTAAACAAATGGATAAGCTATTTATACATAGTTATGGCGATAATTATAGATACAAAAGACGGGGTGCCCTGTAACTTACAGTTTTGATAATGAGCATTTCATAGCAGTAAAAAGATGATTACGATCGTATGAAAAATGATATAATACAACAATTGCTTAAGATTTTGCAGTAAAATAATATAATATTCCAAATTGAAATATTAATATCGAAAGCTTTATAATCAACCATGTCTATTAAAAATATATTCCCCACAATTTATCGAAATTCTCTGTAACGAAAGCTCATTACTTTCTCTCTTTCATCTTTGAGTATAATATATTGCAAGTTGTTAACAGTAAATAAGATTCTGATTCATAATATTCCTATAAAGAAACAAAACATGTTGTAATAAGTTACATATATATAAAACATAATTTATAAATTCGTTAAAAACAAGACTCCTCAAAGATGAATCGATAGAAAGTAAGATTAAATAATAGTTAAGCAAAATTACTACATATTATCTGTTGTAATGCTTAAATGCAATAAGATAAGCTTCTTGGCAAAAAGTGTATGTATAGTTTGATTATCTGTGAGATTGATAATGGCTTTCCAAATAATTATTACAAAACATTGCGTGACAGTCAGAATATATATTAAATAACATATATATCATTAATCGCGGTATGTGTGTATGTGTATGTATAATATGTGTGCGCATACGCACACATACATCCACACACGCACACACATACTGCTTATTGACAGAAATATTTGAAATCGTCATAATTTCGTATATCTCTAAAAGATGTTAATGTTAGGTATTATGTTATAAGAAAGATATAGAAATTATACATTTTTTTTGGCAACAGTATTGTATCGTTTTTCACGTTGCAGCTATATGATAATTATGAGACATGATAATTATGATACAATATATTGACAAAAACTATGTAGATTTCAATTATTGCAATTATTATTATGATTAATATAAATAGACTCATATATACATATATATATGCATGTGTGTGTGTGTGTGTGTGTGTGTGTGTGTGTGTGTGTGTGTGTGTGTGTGTGTGTGTGTGTGTGTGTGTGTGTGTGTGTGTGTGGTGTGTATGTGTATACATATATATGTATGGATGTATGTATAAAACTTCATACCAAAAGCAATGATGTGCATTGGTCAGCGTATATGTCTAAATTTAGCTATAGCTTATGTAGTTGTAGAACTACAATTTTATATAAATTTTAATTAGTTTAGCAACTTACGTTCCATTACGATTCATCGCGAATCTGAATAAACAAAATAAATCTAATATAAAGCTAATATAAATTTTCACTGAAAAGAATGGTGCATTTCAATTTTGCAGCTTTTTATACAGCTTTGAATTTATGCAAATGATTCTTAAAAAATCCGTAAACAAGAATAGTGTATTCTATCTTATCAGGCTGTTTATACCTTTGTTCTCTAATGTATTTTTTTTTTTTTATTATAAGCATTTATTTTAGATTATATTTCTTTAATTTTCTCTATTATAATATATATCATTACATAAATACCTTGTTTTATAACGAGAAAATATGTATTTTCAAAGTTTTTATTTTTATTTTTATATTTACGTTATTATAAAATGAATAAATGTATTATTAATATCTCTAAGAATTTGGAAGAATGTTTTGTTCTCATAGTTTATATTCTTGCCTAGCGCTTTTGTTTTGTTGCTACATATTATTACAGAAAATATTTATTTTATATATAAAATACTGATAAATATCTCTTTTTATTTAAGATAGTCGATTTTCTAGACTTGACTATATTTCTCTCTAGATTTTATTAAAATGGAATAACATATATGTTTTATTGTCATATGGAACAAAGGATAATCACAGCTCATGTTCATAAAAAATTTTATTTTATTGATTGCTTGTTCTCTGTATTACATATGATAAATGATAAGTTGCTCGTGTGCCACGAAATATATATTGGTTCGTTACATTTCATGCATTTTATGATATAAAATATTTTTAGACGCTCAAAACGATGCTATGATTTTATATAATTCTTAATAATTGTTAGTGAAATAATTGTCTGTTTTCTTTACTATACATCATACAAGATTGGGAAATACCGATAACAAGTTACTTTTTAAGTAACTTCCTTTACCTTATATATACATATACATTATGAAACAAATGCCGCAAAACTAACATTTCAATAAGCTACCTATCATTTTTCGATTTATATATTTTTCTTTATATGAGGTAAAAAATATTTGTTTTGTATCGTATTTAACATTCCATGCTTATAATAACTAACATATATGTATGTGACATATAAATATTATTTATTCCTGTTTTTTTGAGAAGAAGATACTTTTATGTTAAATCTGCTTGGAGAACAAGTGTATGTGCTTGTGTGTAATAGCAACATCATTCAAAGTCAATAAAATAGATAATCCAGATTTCTCTAATTTCAAGAATATACGTATGTTACATTATTAATTTTATAAATTGATTTACTGTATTTATCTGAAATAAATCGTCATATAAAATAAGATTTTCAAATGATGTACAGACATCTTCAAGCAGCGTACAAATGTAGTTTGTATAAATGTAAGTTTATACTTTAACACTTTTGTTGTTTAGTTTATTAGAAATATACATATTTAATATACATATTTAATATGTAATGGTTACTCAATTTAAAAATTAGTTATATTTTTATTGCACTTAAAACTTGTATTATGCGACACACACACACACACACACACACACATCGCGAATTCATGTCGATATTTACCTGTAATTATGATTTTATTTAATGTGTACATTGCAGTAAATTCTATTTACATTTGTGAAAATTATTTTTAAATATTAGTATACATGAAAGAGTAATACGCGAATGTAGTCTTATTGCTAAAAAGTCCTAATAAAAATAATATTGTGATTCAAATTATTGTCTTTATTGCATATATCATTTTATTTTATATCATAATTACATAAAAATTTTACTTTTGCAGAGATGAGTTCTCTCATATTTTGTAATAATTAAATTTAAAATGAAAACGATTAAATACATTAATAATAATTATTGAAGGATAAATTCGTCGTTAGATTGGTAAACAAAATCAAATGAGTGGCAATATGACTGCTTTATTATCAATGCAAGAATGTGTGGAACGGACTTTCTTGTTTTTAATTACATTACTCCAAAATGGCCTCGGTGTTACATGATTATCCTTAATACTTTTGATGCCAGATGCTATATACGCAAAATCATACGCAAAAATATTTTATTAATATAGAAATGGAAATAATAATTTTTAATAATTTTTTACCTGATTTCCAAGATGGAAACACTTGTGGATGGCTTCCTACCGAAAGAGATCCAGGGATAATTGTTATAGACAATTGGGGTCCAGGATGTTGAAAAATTGCTCTCGAAATAGATCTTTTGAAAGCTGGCGGCAAGTTTAGAGAACCTAATAACAAATTTTTCATCTGTAGCTGCTTCTAAACTTCTTATTTAAATAGAAAGATAGTTATTGATTTACTTGCAATGTCATCTCCTAATAGGCGTTTAGATGCATTCTTTGTGTGCCGATTGTGTTTCTCCATTTTAAATTTTTCATAAAACTTCGACAAATATTAGTTACAACTTTTCCGTCCAAATTAGCTGTGCATAAAATAAACTGATAATTGGATAATAAACATGAGTAATAAATGATAAAGAATGATTTATGTAATTCTACCTAGCAAAATACTATTGGCGATAACATTTTCCCTGTATCTGTAATACCAAGTAACAGGATTGCCTTGTAAAGATAAATCTTTTAAAGACGTTAACGTATTTATTGTCGTAATCAAATCGTCCATATTATCAATGAGATTATTTTTTGCATCCAACGTAAGTAATTCTTGAAATCCTGTTAGATTTCTCAAGGATATAATTTTGTTGTCAGAAATATTAAGAACTTTTAGACATGGCTAAAAGAAAAAGACGCATATTTAATAAACATAAATTCAACAGTTAATCCGTATAAGTCAATTGCACTTACGGATAAAGCAAAAGCACTGCGTGGTTCGAAACATAATGATTCGCCGAGTGGTATATTTTGACTCTCGATATGCAATTCTAGTAGTTTCTTCATATTTTGTAATCCTTCAACCACAATGATATTATTGTGTCCTAGATAAAGCTTTTGAAGATTCTCTAGAGATTCGAGATTTTCCATTTTCCTTATGGTATTATGTTGTAGGTACAAATGTGTCAGATTGCACGCGAAATGTAGATTTTTTATTTTTGATATATTATTATTCTGAAGATATATAACTTTCAAACTTTTACAAACGTCAATGTCGCCCTACATTGACAAAATGTAAAATTTTCTATATTGGAAATAAATTATAAATTATTTATTAAATTTATGCAACTTACGATACTACTGATAAACATATCATTCATATGTAAGTGAGTCAACTTCCACAATTCATCTTTTTTCGTTGTTTTACTAAGAGATTTAGTACTCAACATTTGAGAATACTTCTTTTCGATAATGTCTATCGTTAATTTTACCATGATTATAAAAGAGATATGAACTATGCGATATACGGCTCGCAAAGATGGTTGCGGAATTTCATTGATCAAACGCGGGACGTAACGACGATACGAAACGGCGGTCATCAGGTACTTGAATAAAATTTTGTGCTGCAACTTTATGTATGAAACCATATAAAAAGAAATTTATTTCTTATATATTATATTATACAATTTAATTTAATAAATAGGTTAATTTCACGATGATTAAATATTTTTTCTTAGCTTTTTCTCTTTTTATACTTATAATGTTGATTTCTGTACCATGGTGAGACTCTATAAACATAAAAACAATAAGTTTAATTAGTATTCATAGAAACAAAATAAAGCAATGATATTACTTTCTACATATTAATTAATTTTTATAGAATAAGTGTTACTTAAAAAAAATATGTATTTATTATGACTTACGTGTGTAATGGTAAGTATTCCTTTAGAAGACAATTGATTCAAGTCCTCTATGAGTTCTTTGATTTGATATTTTTGATTAATAGTCTAAAAGAAAAATGAATTTTGTTATTTTGCATATTGTACAAATTTAAAATAATTGACTTAATTACCTCTAAAACAAACTTTTTTTCATTTTCATTTAAAAATGGTAAAAGTGCAACGGCCAAGTGTGCTTGTTTGCTTTGAAAACAATTTCTTACGATAGTGTTAAAGTCTAATTCATGTATCACAGGACATGAATATAGCAGACAGATCGCCTCTATGCAATTATCTATTTGTTCCAGATTCGGATTTATATCCATTTCTCCAAATGGCTTGGAGATAATCAATTGCCATCCCGTTTTGTAACCATTACAATTTATAATAACACTTTCATTTCGTAATTGCAATAAAATTTTCTTCAAGTCGCTCATCTATAAATATATTTTTAATGTAAACACAGTTTTAAAGAATGTCTAACGAATTATAATTTTGATACCATTCGAAATTTTGTCATCTGACTCAAAGTATCATCCCAAAGTACAATATCGTCATTTATTTTAAAGTCGATGCAAATTTGCGCAATAACAGAGAGCGCATAGGGCAAGAACCGTTGAGTTTTCCATAATATCTGGACAAGTTCGCGTTTGCAACATGTTTCAAATGTATCAACACTGTAACATAATCCTAACGACTCCAATTTACCAATATATTGTAACGATTTCATGTACTTTCTGAAATATTAAAATAAAAGTATTCTTTTAATATATAATAAGTCTATATTCTTATATAAACAAGTCATTATTTGTATTTATACCTAAAAGTACAGATATCTTGCTTAGTCAGTTCTTCTAATGTAGTAGTGTCAATGACAGTCTGCAATATCCGAAATATTCGATATCGTACGTTATAACTATGTTCGGTCTCACCGTGACGATCACCAAAACCGATGTTTATAAGAAATTGTGCAAATAATTTTACATCTCCATATTCCAGCATATAACATGTCCTACGAATTCATATTGCAAGATCAATCGCTAATCTAAATGATGGCATGATGAAAAACTGATATACTAATGGTATACTAATAATATTACCTAAGTAAATTATCTTCACAATCTGTATTCTGATCAGATTCTTTCGGCGCTAGAAACGTCTCTGTAAAACTCTGGGACAATTCGGCATACTTGGCGTTGGATTGTAACCATTCTTCCAATAAATCCATACGCAATTTTACCGTATTCAATGAGTACAGTTTACCCAATTCATTAACGGCAGCGTTAATATCAGGTCTATAATTGGTTGCAGTCCGATATCGTAAAGGTATACTCTCATCGTTATATAACTCGTATACCAATTTGCATGGGTTTTCTATTAAAGCGAAATACTTTTTCTTTTCCAATCCATATGTACGTAGAATATGCTCGGATGTAAATCTTAAATATTTGGATTTAATTTTCTGAAAGTGAATACACACCATATGAGTCAACATATTTTCTTACATGATACAGACATGTAATTTACATAGAAATTATCGCACTTCTAACATTCCCTCTTCAAATTTTGTAGAATTTTGTGCTGCCAGTTGAGCGTATTCATAACATTTCTTCGCCGCAGCAACGCGATCAGCACCTGGAGGTGTATGATTCACGACATAGTACAATGCCGCAGTGCCATAATAAAATCCATCCGAATCTGACATCTGTTGAATGCATTTCTTAATATCTTTGAGCAATGTGGTATTTGTCGGATAAAGCGACCATGCTGCATCTTTCGATGGAGCAAAATTGTTTCCCCATACTTGTGTCACTTCACCCTTAATAGCTAATGTACATATAAGATGTGCTTCTAGATTGAGTACGGGTGCAATGTCAAGCCACTTGTCATATGTCCGTAAGTTCAGCTCAGGAGCTAATAACAAATCAATGAAATACAAAATTAAATTAATCACGCTTAAATGCCAATTAAAAAGTTCATTTCTTAAATATAATTACTAATGATTTTCCAAATGTCGACCTTAAGGAGGAATGGAAGTCTCCATTGGGCTATAGGTGGCAACGTACTATGTCCTGGATTAAGTTGTATCCATTCATCACGTTCCATTGGTGTAGGAAGCCTAATGCAAATGTGATCATTAAACTTTAGATTAATATATGCAAAATTATAACTTACCCGTTTCGAGTGTAATTTTGCAAGAAACAAAGATAATTCCTCTTTTTCATATCCTTATCTCCTATGAGATCCATTAGTATGATGAATACTTCATAGTGATAAAATGTAATCTACAAATTTAAATATAAAATTGTAAAAAAAGTTATACTATCATAAATATCTTCATATCTTACGTTTTCCCATAATGTAGAGACACATTGCTTTAACATGGATTTATCTTCCATTTGCGTAACAATTGCACAACATTTCTTTTTTAAATCATCGACTTCGTCCTTAGAGATAATTAATTCTATAAAATACCATTCGGTTATACGTAATAATTATCTACAATGTATAATTATAAATATTTCATGCATGCGAATATTAACTATTACAAATATAGATTATTTGCTAGTATCGGTTACCTTTACTCATGCTTGTGTCTGAAATGGTTATTGTCGGATTCCATGTTTTTAATAATATTTGTAAATACAGTAAAAGACAATCGTTGAAATTAAATCCAAAACTACAACAATAATCCTTTAGTAAAAAAATCATGTTTTCTTTATTACTGCTTATAATCTGCTGTAAAATTTCTCTTTTGCTCGAAGTAGTATTTATTAGAACCTCTATAAATATTTACATATTAACAAGATGTACATTAAAATTTACAATAACAAGATTTGTATTTTATATAGGAGTGAATTCGATAATATTAAATCACATAAACGAACCTTTAGGAGATATTGAATAAGATGATAATCGTTGTGCCCAAATATGCAATAGCTTGTAACTTTCAAATGTCTGTTTTAATGATCGATTTTGCCTTAAGCGCGAATACTCGTATCCCAGAGTAGAGATTATACAATGTCGAATATGATCAGCTTGAAATCTGCAAATTAAAATTTTTATACATATATTATTACATTATTATTATATTATATTATATTATATTAGAATTGTTAAAAAATAAATTTTCTTACGAAGTAGAACTTATGGAAAGCCAATTGCACGCCTCTTGTTCAGATAGCACAAAAAGAGACGATAATCCCAACTGCAGATCGAATGGTTGTCCAGTACATAATTTTTTTAATAAATTCATCGAAAGCTGTGATAATATAGATTTCATATCTATTAATATCTCTTCGTTTCTTGAAGATATATTACAATACATAAAATAGAACGTCTTGAAAATTTGCAATAAAGAATAATCGTTGTGTTGAAGTCGTACATTTCTTATATTTTCCAAGAAACCTTTTAGCAACTGATCCATTTGTTCCTACATATAAACAAATATATCGTAATATCGTAAACTAATTTTATAAATTACATGTATATAACTTAGAATACATACATTACAATTTGTGATTTCATTACTTTGAATCTGATTTGAATAATATAAATGTAGAGTCATTGCATCTTTAAACAGAGATAACAATCTTTCATCCAAAGATATTGCTTGATCCTTGTAAATTGTATATAGCTTCCAGGTAGAGAGTAACGTAGGACCTTGCTTTATGTTATAATAATTTTGAGTAAAAAAACTTGGGTATGCATTGATACAATTATAAAGTATTAATGCAGATTGTAAATCATCTAAAACATTATTTTACGATATATAATTATCATCATCTGTAAAACATAGTAATACAATATTTAAAACAATTTCAATACATACTGTCTTGACATGTATTTAATGTTGATGCACTTAAATTTTTAAGAATTTTTATAACATTTGTATCTATATCAGTATGTTGTAGTACTGACGAGCACATCTTATATGTATTTTTAAATTTGTTCGTCTTTATATTTAAATCTTCATCGTCACTATAAAAACACAAAAGAAAGAAATAAAACACACACACACACACACACACACACACACACACACACACACACACACACACACACACACAACAACATATACTAAATTATATAAAATACATACTCAACAAGTTGTTCCAATATGTTTAGGTTTTTTGTCTGCTCTAATAATAATGAGATCGCATATGACCTTTCCAATTTCAATAAATCGGCAATTTTGTTAACTGTCTTGTAAATTACTGATAAATCGTTATCCTTTATATCTGTCAAATTATCATAAATAAGTTAGAAATTCTTAACAAAAATTTATACACACATTAAATTTAATTATAACAATTAAAAATTTTACTTGAAAATAATTTTATGATACACTTCTGCAACACAAGTGATTTCTCCATACGATAATTTTTCAAGGAAATATCAATCTTATATAATTTCTTCAATGTATATAATGATCTTAAATCTTTTATCATTTTGATAATATTGTTGCAACGATACGAACAAATATTTATTTGTGTCAACAAGTTATATATCTTAAATTCTAAGCAGCCTAGTATTTCCATATGGCAATCCAAGGATATTGTTTCATTCTAAAATCAAATATTAAATAATTATTTAATGCTTCACTTTATCCTTTAGAAAAAATCTAATTTTTATTAATTAAATATTATATCAGAATTCATTACCTGAAAAGAGAGCGCTGCAACGATATAATTAATAAGTCCTTCATAACAATATAAAGAGAAAACAGCATCATTTTCCAAGTAACATATTATATCCATTGCTTTTTGAATATTTCTAGGACAAATGTTAGTAAATTAAATAAATGGATGTCTTATATTCATAGAATTTTTTCTCATTGTACGAATAACATATTTTTTACAACATACTTTTCTCTCAATCGAATATTTATGCAGCGAGAAAATGCATCCTGTCTCAATTGTTGATCGTTTTTAGTTAGCACATCTATATCGTTAATCATAGAATCACAATTATCCTTTATTATACGCGATATTAATCTCTAAAATATAAATAATACGTTATTATAACATTAGATAAAGATATCATAGAGAAAATAAAATGCCATAAATTATACTAACATTATTTACGCCAATTGATGCAAATCCATATTTCTTTAAAATGAGTTTTATCGGAACATAATCGCGTTCAATTTTAATTTTAGAAACTAAACTATGGTCATAGTTACTGCTTGTTTCTGCTAAAGTAGCTATAGTAGAACTCCAAGGTACTGGTGCCTTTCTTAAAATTATCAAAGTTTGCTCCAACCGTTTCTTATGTAACATAAAATATTAAATAAATAAAAAAGTTTTATACAAATTAGTTTTACACAAGTTATGACACAAATAGTAACTAATAGTAACTAATATTTCATATTTCTCTCTTCATACCTCTATATTATGTATAAGGCTTATTATAATAGTAACTCTTTTCTCCCATGCAGCTTCTTCATTAAGCCACCAACTATACGAATTCTCTATTGTTTTCTAAAAAGATATAAAACTTTATAACAATTTATAATATTCATATAATTTATATATGTGTTATAATATTTATACAATTATTATATAACAGAAACAGAAGGAATTTAATATTTTAAATAACATATTGTCTTTAATCTTTATATACGTATAAAACTAGATGGTATAAATATTATTATGCCAACCTGAATATATGTACAGAGAACCATATCGTTTTGTAAATTATTATTAAGAATATATTGTTTAAGAAATGTATTTGCAAAATTCAATATTTGATCAATATGCATCTTATCCAACAGTATATAAATCGCTTCTATAGACGAATCGACGTATATATCAAGAGGTATTCTCAACCTATAGCACAATTAAAATAATATTAATTTGCGAGCTAATTTAAAAATACGATATTACTGACCTGTAAGTAATCTTCAATTGATGAATATCAGCTAAAGCTTGAAGCAGAAACATGAATTGTTTCAGTAAAGAGTTTTGATATCTATATTCTTGATGAAAGTATACTGATTGATTATCTTCAAATTTAAGCAATTTTATAAACTTTTTTGCAAAGTCTGTACCAATTTCTGGCCATACCGTACGATGGGATATCTCTAGATATTTTAGTTTCTTCAGACCCCAAGACATAATTTCATTTATTGCATCGGGCAATAAGGATAATAATGTTGGTATAAAATGAATAAGCCATGGCCATAAACATGATGGATCCATGTTTTCAGGTAAAATTGCAAAAATATTTTGAACTGTTTGTATAGTTATATGCTTCATAAGATCAGGAAGATGTCTTGTCCAAATTAATGTAGCAGATTTTAGTTGACCCTATATATCATAAATAGTAAACATCACAAGAAATTTAATATATATTGATATATAACAATTTTTGTATCTCCCTTTTTGTATTCTCTTGTATAAATCGTAATATATGTAAAATTACAATCATATAATACCATGCTTAAATGGGTAGTACATTCTTCCAATAAATTTGTTTGTGAAAATCTTATCCATTCTTTTATAGTTGTGTCGTCGTTCAATAATGTATTCGTCCCAGTATTTTGGATCATTTGAAAAGTTTCAAGTCTGTATAAAGCGTCGTTTATCATAGATAGACTAACGTTCAGCAAATCATCTGCGTTTTTTATCTACCAAGAATATAAATTAATATGGTAAAATATATATAAATTAATGCAAATTATCATAAATATAATATTACCTTGAGTATTTGCACTATTCTTTGCCGAGCATATAAGTATATTCGTCTCATTTCTATATAATTAGAAATGAGAGCTTTGCTACAACATTCAATCACATATTGAATATCTTGTATTTTATCTAAAATATTTATCAGCATATCTGTGTCTACTAAAGTAGAAGATTTTGCCCAAGGACTGAGTTGTTCTACAAGTAATGCTGCTTTAGAACAATAAATGGGTTCCATTGAAAGATCTAATTTGTTTGCAAAAGCTTCAGCTGCATCAAATTGCCTCCTTTTCAATAATCTCGCTAAACGTATCTCAGGAATATTTTCTGATATCATTTTTACTCTAAATGTATCAATAATTCCAGTTTCAGTAGTGATACCTTCTACATAAAATATGCTATCAGAAATAAATGAAACGTCGAATAAATACGTAATAGCAGATACATTAATTTCAAATTTCTGCTCAAAATCTAAAAAAAAGAAGATTCAAATTATATGTATTTGTAACATGCAATATCATTTATAGATAAAAAAATATTACCTGGATAAGAAATAACACGTAACTTATATATAGTACAATCATTAGAATGTGTTAAAATCAAAATTTCACAATGATCAGCATCACTGTATCGTGTTACAATAAAATCAAACACTGGACCCTCACACATTTTCAATGATAGTAATGTATTCAAACATACCATACTTAATACATGATCTGTACGAAGACAAAGCATTTTGCTAAAACAAAATATTTCTATATATTATATAACCTAAAATAAAAATTCAAAAATACAAATCTCTATATCTTATTGGTATAATTAAAAAATTTACTTACCTGCTACCAGATAATAGTCTTATCTTTTTATATCCAAAATATGTACTTTGAAAATTATTACAATGTTCATTAGGCCAAATAAATATTGAATTTGTTCCAACCATAATTATTGATAGTTCTTTTAAAGATGTATCCATTATGCCATCTAAGAACTGGGACAAACTCTTTATAAATTGATTTTGAAAGTAAAAAGTAGTGAGATTTACATATATAATTTTACTTTAAGTCCAAATAAATATAATACATAAATATAGTACATATTACACATGTATGGCAATAAGTTTTTTAAAACAATATATGCATTACCTCTGATGAAGTAAATCCTTTGAATAGTTGAGAGCATTGAATATTTGCTGTACACTCTGCAATCATATCTTTGTCATCACTGATAAATGCAAGTTCTAAAGATTTAGGATAAAAATTGGAGAATCTAAAATGTTGTTCAGCTAGTTAGGAATTTAATAATGAAAATTAAAATATAACAGATAAAATACTATATACTGCTACTACTTATAAATAGCTCCAGCATTTGTGATAAGAATTATAACTATTTCTTCTCCTTGTTCTTTCAAGAAAATTTTTATTATATCATTCTGATTTTCAGGTATGGTTCTATAATCAAAAATTATTTATGTAGACAAAGAGAATTGTATTTTCAATACACTTACAATATACAAATAATTTTTCATTTATAAAAAAACATTAATTACTTTGTAAAAATAATCTTTCCATCTAATAAATGTAGGCAGTATAAAATCCTGGTTGCAAGTATTACAAATAAAAAGAAACCATCTTTAGAAATGCAGTAATTGGTTATCATGGAAGGAAAGCTGATATTACATAATATTTCGTCGCATGTTTCATCTCTGAAGATTGTAATGGACTTGTCGATTGCTACACAAATTTTGGAATATTGAATAGATGCCAAAACCATTGATACTTCATCAACCTTAAAAAAAAGATCTATTATATAGATTCATTAATTTTAAATTAATAATTATAAGTAATAATTATAATAATTTGCAATTATTATAATTATTAAAGATATTTAATTATTATAATTATTAAAAGTTATTAAAAATACGAAACGATTACTGAATCTCTAAACTAATAAACGAACGAGACATTTAAAACGTGCGCCATGATGATTTATACCGGCACATGCGCATTTTATAAATATTTAAATATTGGGAAAAAAAACAACTCAAAAATCAAAAATAAATATTGTTGATGGTATTGTTGATGGTATGGTTGATATATTGATTTCTTTTCTTGATTTTCTGATTTTCTCGTAGCTCAAGCAATATTAAACACGTAAAAGTAGAATAAGCATCAATAAAAAATATCACTTGTCAAGCAACCGTCATACCAATCAAGCTTGAACTGACAAAATGGTGTAACATACCCTTTCAAGCGATTGAATTGTTGCGACGGTGCACGCCTCGTATAACGAACCATTGTTTTCAGCGATTATCCGCGTACCAAAATTAATAGTCTCATCATCTACATCGAAGCCTGATTGAATCCGATTCCACGAGGACATTTTCTAAAATCGCAACGGATCCTCCTACTCTTAGTTGATCCCAATGATCCCAATCGATCTCGTTTAGGCGCCAAGACTGAGACTCTGGAATTTAGTCTCAGGTGAATTTATTTTATCATCATCAT